TCATGTGATTATATATAAAAATTATAGTAAAATTTGTGTAACCTATCTGACCAATCATATGAATGTCCTCCTATGAGATATGCATATATCAATATATCACTTAGCATGTGTAACCATAATGATAATGACGACAATCTACATGTCTTTTGTTATTGTTCAATAAACTTTCATTTCTTTAAAATCTAATTTTAATTATTAATTTATATGCTGAGACCAGCAATAAAATAAATTTTGGATTTCTCCCTTTTCTACTATATTCTCTCTTTTTGGAAGTTCCGACTTTGGTTATATAATTTTTTTTTTCACAATATACTCATACTTTTTAATACTTTTAAATTCTTTTTAAATTCTTTTGAATTAATATATCTCAACTGTAAATATGGGGATCAATGTGACCATTGAGGTACACCGATTGTTACTAAATAAGTAATGTCTTTATTCAAACAGCTTGTAGGGTACTCATTTTTACTTTTGAGGTACTCATTTGTATAACGGGATTAACTTTAAAAGGTGTGCAAATTGTACCTTAGCAGTTGTTTGAAATCCCTCCCGATATATTTAGGTGTACCTTCATGGTTTTTTCCCCCAGTTCTTTATTAAAACATTTTGCATTTCATTTGTAAAATAAAGTTTAAACCAAAAATTTTTTAAAAAGACCAAAAAAAATATATATATATTTCCGATATATTACATAGTTTTATATTCATTTTACGTAGAACACTAAAAATGAGCAATTGTCAAGCACCTTTAGAAAATAACTTACAGGGCTGGATTTTGACGCTTGCGTCTGGACTGGCCTGTTGTTTAGGAGGTAAATATAGCTTCAAAGGGTTTTTATATTTATTGTTTTTTTGTAAAAAAAAAAAAAAAAAAAAAAAAATTTTTTTCATTGCAAGTTTTACAAATTCATAACCTTTTGTCGTTATTTTACATTAGCCTCTGTGGTGTTTTTGGATCTTTTCTTTCAAAAGTTTTCGTACACACAATATCTACAAATCGCTCATAATTCAAAATTCTTGGTTGCTTCATTATCACTTGGTGCCGGAGTAATGGTATTTATGAACATTTTATTCCTCTCTCTCTTTCCCCCTCCCTACCTCTATCTCTCTCTCTCTCTCTCTCTAATAAACAATATTGTTTATTTCGAATTTAATATACACATTTAGTTATTCTCAAGTTTATTTATATTACTAAACGAAGCCAAAGAGTATTTTAGCAAAACTCCAAAATTGAGAGAATATTCAGGAATAAGTTTAATTGCATTCTACTTTTTAGGCGTTATCGGATCCGCGATTATAAATAAACTTATTCATTATGCATTGAGTAGTCCTACAATCTCACATCACCACCATCATCACCATATTCCAGATGATATTAAAAAACGGCAAGTAAATAAGCATGATGTAGAATCTCTCTTAACCCAAAGTGAATCACATGACGAAATGTCACCATTATTAAAAAATCATGTGGATAGAATTTCATCTCCATTATATGATGAAGATAGTAACCATTATTATAACGAAACCGCTTGTTCGGATAGACATTCGGTTTATATGGTTGAAAACGAACCTGATCTCGAATCTTTATGTTGTCATGATTCTCATGATGATCATCAACCAATTAATGCCGATCCGGAAAATGAGCAAATTATGCGAATAGGAATTCAGACCGCTTTGGCCATTTCCATTCATAAATTTCCAGGTATGATATTCTTTTTTTTTTTAAATATTTATTTGTTTGCATTCATTTCCTAATATGAACTTTTTCTATTTAATCACATATAGAGGGACTCATCACATTTGTCACCTCGCAAGTCTCACCATCTATTGGTTTCGCTTTATTTTTTGCCATTGCTTTGCACAATATCTCAGAAGGCTTTACCATCGCTCTTCCATTATATGTGGCAACAAAATCCCGAATAAAGAGTTTCTTATATGCAAGTTTACTAGGAGGTTTTAGTCAGCCATTTGGTGCTTTAATAGGATACTTGTTCTTAAAAGAGTCTGAAATTGCATGTTGGGATCATAATTTTATTTATGGTGCATTATTTTCTGCAGTCAGCGGACTGATGGGAGTCATTTGCATACAGGTAAAAGGAAAAAGAAAGATTTTTTTAAAAATAATCGCAAATTTTTTATATTAAACAACTTATTTCATTTATTAAAATATTTTTTACTTTAATATTATAGGGAATGTTACCACAAGCCATTAAATATGACAATTCAGATGGTCAACTAACGACCACATTCTTTTTCTTGGGTGTTTTAATTATGGGAAGTAGTTCGGCTTTGTTTGACCATGCTGCTTCGTTTGAACCCTAAGAATAATGATCTTGAATTTTGGATTATCGTTTTGATAATCATCTTATCTTTCATATCATTCTTTATATTATTGTTTCATCTCATTTTTTAAATTTTTTTCAATTCTTGTTCGTTATTAAATATATTAAAGTAGAACTTTTTTATGTTTTTTGTTTCGAATTAATTTACCGTACATGATCGGAAATTATTCGAAAATTATTTAATTTGCCTTGTACAGAAAAAGTTTATAGATTTTATTTACAATAAAAATAATATTCATAATAATTTGTTTTTGATTGGTTACCTTATGATGATAATTCATGCACTAAATTATACTAATTCGCATTCGTAAATTATATGTTGCAGGTGATATTTCATAAATTACTAGGAATGGCAAAAATAAAAGATATATACAATTATAATTCTCGAGTACTCAAAAAGTCCATAATTTGTTCCAACATCGGATTTCCCCCTAACCTTTGTACCTCATCTCTAGCTTTCTTTTCTGTTTTGGATAAATAATGTTTAGTATAATCAAAAGAACCGGAATCTTCCATCATTTTCACTGCAAATTGCTTTAACTCGATAGATTTTGTATGTTGTTTTAAAATATCTTTAAAAAAAAAGTTTTTTCACCTTAAGGAATAAAATGATGTGATATTATTCATTAATTTAAATTTAAACTTAAATTAAAGGATACTTATTAGTTTTCTATTATTGGGATCATTATTAATAGAATGTATAATCGGAAAAGAGAATTTTCCTTCCGTTAAATCCTCACAAAAACCTTTATTTTCTGCATACTATATATAAAATAAAATCATTAACATAATAGTAAATATATTAGAATAATCTAAGATAGAATAAATTACCTTATCTGATTGTAAATTCATGTAATCATCTCGTATTTGGAAATGAATTCCAATAAGGTTAACTAATGGAACATAATCACTTTATATGATATTGTGATGAGTTAGTTATATTGATGTACGAGAAATATAAATTCGACACCAATTAAAACTCACATTTTAGATTCACTTGCCGCTTGCATTAATTTTACGCCCAGACGTAGTAAACCACCAGTTTCTGATTCATTTCATTTATTTATTTATTAATTTTATTTTTATTTTTATTTTATTTTTTTTAAAAAAAAACGTATTAACATTTTGTTACTCTGTTTAAATAATAAAGAATCATTTATAACGTTCTTACTGTTTGAAACCATTTCAATGAACTCATCTTCAGAAGGACAAATCAAATTATCTCTCCAATAGAGTTCCATACCTTGCCCACGATGAAGATTTAACAATTCCTCTAAATAAAATAAAGAAGATCTTTAATCATTTAAAATTAAATAATAAATGAATAAATTTCGATTATCAAATTTACCTGTATATATATTAAACATATTTACGTCATTAAGCTTTGTTAATTCGTTTAATCCGAGAAAATAAACATAATTCGCACAATTTATTGTAGCAGGTACACCATAAATAGAGTGCGCAACTGTAATATTATTAGAATGATATTAAAATCAATACGTACACAAAACGTACGTAAAATGCGTGATTTGTTTACCTGGAACACCCCGGCGTAACTTTGAATCGTCTTCCACATCATCAATCCTTTAAATTTTAACAAGTTTAATTTGAATTAATAATTTAATATTCGATTAAACAAATGAAAACGCTTACAATAAACTAGAGGTATGTAACATTTCGACAACCTTGGTTATAATTGTCAATTTATCTTTGGGAACTTTAAGCCAATAATCAAAGGCATCAATCAATTTGCTCCTAATTTCTTTACCAGGATGAGCCAATAAGTAATTATAAGGTTCTAAAAGAAGCTTTGTTTTTTTTAAACAAAAAAAATGTAAATATAAAAAGCATAAAGAAAGAAAGAGAAAAAGCGCTTTGGTAATTTTATACTTCTTCTTTTCCTTGAGTCCATGAAGTTGCAGAAGGTTGTTGCTTACTTGTTACATTTTCAACAGTTTTTGTAAAAACGTCTTTGTCCATTTTTAAAAAATTATAAAGTATTGTTATCGAAATTTAAAGGTTACACCGAGAAATGCGGATCTCCTTCGTGGTAGATATAAGGTAATCTCAAAAAAATATTATTAGGTTAGAAAAAGTAATACCAGCAACAGATGTGCAATAATCGATAAACCAATAAAAAAAATTAAAAATTATACTAACTTGAATAATAACTGGGGTACCAAGTAAAATAAAAGGGTTCATTAAAAAGGGGGATATCGTTATTGTTGAAATTAATTAATTTTCAAAACTATTATTATTTTTAATATAACTTAATTTTGTTTATATTCCATTTATAATAAAAAATAAAAAAAGTGGATTCACATGCTAATAAAAATTTCAGATCATAATCAAAAAGTAATAAATATACATTTCAATTATGCAAAAGAAAACGAAAATATATAAATGATTTCATTGTATTTATTGTAAAATACGTTAGATAAATAATTATTTGAAGTGCTAAATAAAATATCTTTAAATAATACTTTTTATTTTATACTTAAATTTGAAAAACAATTAAAAAAAATTTTTTTTTTTGTTATAAAAAATAATATTTTTTAAGCTATTTATAAAATATTAATATATAAATTATATCTAAAATTTTATTGATAAATTTTAAATATATATAAAAAAAATTATAAATCATGTATAAAGAAAATCATTTATCTTCATTCTTTTGAAAACCATTTTAACATCTTTTATAAAAATCTCTTATTCCTTTATTTTATTTATTATATAAATTTTATTCTTTTAATTTGATTAATTTATTTATTATATATAAATTTTTTTTCTATTTTACTTAAATAAATTGATAAAAATCACATAAATTGTAAAATTATATAAATATGATCTATTTTTAAAAAAGTTAATATGCATTTCTTAAACTTTATTTAAACTGTTTTTTAATATTGAAAATGGATAAATTTTTGCTAAAAAAATTAAATAGAAATAATAAAATAAAAGTCAATTTCTTATTTATTGAAATTTATAGAGTATAATAAACAATTAAAATAGAATAAAAAAACCTGTTTTTTTTGTATATTAAGAACCTTATAATGAAATTTTTTTTATTAGTAAGTATTATCTAAAATAATCACAATATTATTAAAGAAATAATAAGTAAAATAAGAGATAACAGAACTTTTATAAACTTGTTTGAAAAGTTTTAAATAGTATAATTTATCAGATATTAATGATACTTGCCAAAATTACCTTTTTTAATATTATAAAACTAATAAAACTAAAATAATAAAACTAGTTTTTTATAAATGTCAAAACTATATTACTTAATTATCAAAATGATATTTAATTTAATTTGAATTCTTGAATTAAAATACATCAAAAATATATTAATTTATATTTATTTATATAAAAATATTAAAAAAAAAAAAATCCTTTTAATAAAACTACTTTTTTCAAAAAGAATTAAGGCAGTTATCATTATCTGATATAAATATTATATTAGAATTTTTAGCATTTTAATTATTTAACTTATTATATAATATCTAAAAATGTTGATAAAGACTTAGCTATATATCAATTATTAAAATTTATTATATATAATTTATATATTTAGATAATCAATTAAATAATTATCAATCAGATACAACTAATTCATTTATAATTATAATAAAAATAATAGAAGTATTTATCTAAAAATATTAATATTGATAAATTATTTGTAAATATATTAACAAATCTTTTGTGATATTTTAACTCATATTATGTTTAATTTCAATTTTATAATTGTATTATATCTGAATTTATTTAAAAATTTTTAGAAAAAAGATTTATAATAAATATAAAATATTTTATAATACTTCATATTATAAAATAAGATTTTATATAACTAAAGATGGAAACTGTAATTAATATGTTGCAACTTTTAATGTTGCAACTTACGTTGCAATTAGTTTTAAC